TATAAATTAATATTATAAATAGAGAATTTATTATTATTATTATTATTATTATTAATAAAATAATACTAGTTTCGTAGAAAATTGACGTCATCGTCCATCGTCATCATCGTCGTGTAAATTTTCACGAATTTTAGTCCCGATTTGGAAATTTTCAAAATGAGGTCATGAATTAGTTACCCTCCCTTCTCTCTCCTCCACGATTTTATCGAACGGAAAACGTAAATCGTTATATTATTATTATTATTATTATTATTATTATTATTATTACGTTTAATTCGATTTAAAGAGGTAAATAATGAATTTACGGAAAAGGAGAGAGAGAGAGAATTAATTGTTATGGTTTTCGGTTCGGTTAATTATATTTTCGTAAAAAGTTCATTGTTGTTATTAACAAATCCGTTCCACGTTGGTTTTTTTTTTTTAAATTATTATTATTATTATTATTATTATTATTATTATTATCGAATGAAAAGACAACCCCCCCCCTTCACAATATTTAACTAAAACGTTTTCTTTCCCTTTGATCGTGACGACGACGACGACGACGATGTTAAAAATGTTAAATTTTTTTTGTTAAATAGAAAAATTTTTTATTTCCTCGTTTATGAATTATTAACAAGAAGAAAAGAAAAAGAAAATAAAAAGGAAATGAGAAAATTTAAATTTTTAATTTAACGACTTATAAAAAATTTGTGGGGGGCACACACACACACACGAGATATTACGTGCATCAATCACATGGTATTTGATTTTTGATTACGAGTTACCAAGGTAAATTTTACAAGAAAAAAAAAAAAAAAAAGGTTACGAGAAAAGCCTGTGCGAGAGAGACAGAGAGCGGAAGGGAGTAGAGGGGGTAGAGGGAAAAGGGGAAAAGGGGGGAAAAATTTTTTTTTTTTTAACGTCGGATTTGGTTCATTAATTTAAAATAAAGTTCACCGAACTGTGTATATATGTGCGTAGGTAAGTAGAAAGAAAAAAAATAGAAAAATTTTGTTTTCAAAAAAGTTATGGCGCGTGATTAATAATAATAATAATAATAATAATACTATATATATAAAAAAAGATGGATGATTGGTAAAAAAGAAAAAAAAGGTTTGATATTTTCTGGCGACGACTGAGTTTTTAAAAGTTAAAATAAAATGTAAATAAATAAATAAATAAAAGATTATCCGAATATTAATTTTTTTTTTTTACAAAATCTTTTTTTTTTCTAATTCCACGTGGAAAATTTTCTTTTTTTAATAATAATATTTAACCGGATAAAAGATGAACATAAAAAAACGTTGAAAATTAAATAACAACTCAAAAAACATAATAAATAAATAAATAAAAATGGCAGAAATCCAAAAAAGCAAAAAAATAAAAAATAAAAATGAAATAAAATAAAATTTTTTATTTTTTTTTTCCTACCCTTAATTCGTTTTCAACCCCTTCAAAACAGAAAGAAAGAGAAACAGAAAGAGAAAAAATTTCAAAATTAATTACATTAAATTTATTTTCATTTATTTTTTTCTTTTTTTTTTTCTCCATGACGTAAAAAATTTTTTTTACGATTTTTTTTTTCTTTTCCTCTCCAGAACAATCGTGTGTCTTTTACCCTTTTTTTCCTTCCCCTCTTTCCCCCTCCTTATTTTACGTTTATCAAAATGTTTAAAAAAATTTTTTTTTTAACTTTTTATATAAATAAATCATAAATTTTACTTTTTCGTGTATGTTTTTTTCTGGAATCAAATTTAAAAAGGTCATTCACCCTTTTTTTGGAGAAAATGTGTCGAATTCGGTTAATACCTATGAATATTTATTTATTTATTATTATTATTATTTCACCGACTTATAAAAATAAAAATTTATTAATTCCAGGAAATGAACTGGAAATGATAACTTAATTTACGTCATAGATATCGATGAAAAAATTCAAAAAAAATAATAAAAATTAGGATTTTAATTTTCCCGCCATTTTTTTTTTTTTAAAATTTAATTTGCAATTAAAATTTATTATTATTATTATCATTTAATCGAAAACTTTTGCATGGAAAATATCACAATTTTTTTTTCGTACGACGACGACGATGACGATGACGACGGCGAAAAATTTTTTTTTTTTTATTCGCGTGTAACATGCACGTTTTACTTTTTTTTTTTTATATATTTTAAATTCAAAACGTTGATATTATTATTATTATTTTTTTTGTTTTCAAATGTTTTCAACCCTGTTAAAATGCAAATTAATAAGGTTAAGTAAAAAATATTTATCCTAGGGTTAAATAAAAATTTAATTTCTTTAATTTATAAATGTGGAAAATTGTAATGTGCGCATTAACCCTATAACTACCGTAAACTAAAGAATCGCCGGGCGAAAAAGGCTACCGCCGGCGATGCACAGCCGCCGGTGCACAACCGCCGCCATTGCCGCCACTGCCACCACCGCCGCCGCCGCCGCCATACAAATCATAGACGATAAAATAATTTTTTTTATTATCCTCATAAGAAAATCGTTTACAAAGAAATAAAAAACAAAATTAAAAAATTTTTCCGCTTGAGTTTTCCCTTCCCCTCCTCCTCCACATATTTTATTAGTGTTATTCTATGTAACAAAATAAGATTATAATTATTATCATCCTGTTTCCGGTGTGTGAAAGAACGACGTCACGTCCTTAAAATTGGCGGGAAATTTAAAAATGGTAAAAAAAACTTTCACGTACACGTAACACAATAACAATAACAATATAAATAGTTTTAGAAAAATCAAAATTATATTTTGGAATAATAATAATAAAGTGGAAGAAGAAAAAATGAAAAAAAAAAAAATGGCGGAATCACAGCCTTCTTAAAAAAAAAAAAATTCGATTCAAAACAAAAACAAAAACAAAGTTTATTTATTTTCATTTAATTTTTAAATTTGATTTCATAACTTTTTTTTTTATCTTTCGTTTGATTTGGTTTTGAATTCATTTTATACATATTTAAAAAAAAGGAAAAAAGGAAAAAAAAAGGAAAAAAAGGAAATAAAAAGAAAAATGATTTTTTTAAATTTTTGGCAACAAAATTGTTTGTGGCAATTATTTTCACCTTTGTGTTTAAACTTTTGGTCATTTTTTTTAACGTCGCCATTTGGACGGTGTCGCATAACGTATAAGTATTTACTCGAAATACCTGATTTTCTTATCGCCGAAATTATTTTTTTCATTTTTATGATAATGTTATCAAAAAGTATATTCGTTATAAGATTATCTAAACTTCGATATTCGGAATTACAAATGAAAAAAAAATCACAACTATTAGAAAAATACGAAACGAATTTAAATTATAATTTTGAAAAAATTCGTAAAACGTTAAAATGATACAAATTACCCCCCCCCCCGTTCCCTCCCCCATTTGTTTGTTCATTCAATTATGTTTAAATTTATGTTTATAATTTTGTTGTTTTTTAAATAAAATTTTTAAGAATGAGGAAAAAAAAATCATCGAATGATTAAGGATGAAACTAAAGAAAAGCTCAAAAAAAAGAAAAAATCAAACTAAGGAAAATTTTAAAGTTTTTTAAACGTCGATCAAATTAACGACAACAACAAACAACAAACAACAACAAACTTAAAATTTAGTGTATTCATTTACCTTAAAAAATATTTAAAACAAAAAACAACATTATCGGGGCTTACTTGTAACAAATAAAGGCCCCCCCAAAAAAAAAACAAAAAAAAAATTATTCGTACGATCGATAAAGTCATATTATTATTATTATTATTATTATTATTTGGAAACAATAAAATAAACGGAATTTTCCAGGTTTTTATTTTTTTTTTATTTTTTTCTCCAGACTTTTAAAACAAAACAATAAAATAAATTTTTATCAAATATGAATGATAAAAAAAAATTTACTATAAAAAATTTTTTTTTTTTTATGTTTCCGTATATAAAATAATAATAATAATAATAACGAAAAAAAAATTTTTTAAATTGAAATACGATTGATAACAAATGATAATAACGATCAAGGGTTATGTAAATAAGATAAAATTGAGTGATAAAAACTTACCCTTGTAATGGAGGACCAGGAGATCTTCCGGGTGCTGGATCTCCATCATCGCTACCACCAACTCCTTCCGGTATGGACGTTGTTAAAACGAGTAAAACGATTTGAAGTGATAAAGAAGCTCCCGCGCACTTTAAATGATGATGTTTATTATCACTATTATTATATTTTGTCATTGTTTCGTTTTGTTTCACGTGTGTGTGTGTGTGGAAAAATAAATTTTTTTTTTAATTAGACGCCATTTTTTTTTTTTTTACTTCATAAAATGTCTTTTTCTATCCACCAACTTCCTTGAGAATTCTGAAATATAAACGGTAATAAAATTAATTTTTTTTTTTTTTTCCACGAATGCATCAATCTTTTTTATTTTAAATAATCTTGATGATGATGATGATAAAGTGGCATTAGCGAATTTTTATCCGATAAAAAAAAAAATTTTAATTTACCATCATCGAATGAGTGGTTTTTACTTAATTAAAAATTTAAATTTTCGTAAAACGCAAATTTTTTAAAAAAAAAAAAAAAAAAACTCCTCCCTCCCTTCTTCTCTCTTTTTCCGCCCATTTACACTTTAACCCCTCCCCACACATTCTCCCCTCCCCCAAACAAAAGAAATAAAAAAAAAGGAGGTAAAATCGTATTTGTTTATACTCAACAACCAACTATCACGTATCCCATTTTTTTTTCGAAATAAGATTAATTCGATCACGTAAAAAAAAGGGGGGGAGGAAGAAGGGGGTGGGGGCTTACAACAGACGGTAACGATCCTTATTAATTTTTTTTAACAAACCGTTGTTTGTTCGTGTGTGTATAACAAAGGAAAGAGGAAAAAAAAAAAAAGATTTCAATGGTAAAAACATGATAATAGACAAGAAAAAATAATAATAAGTTGGTTGGTTTTGATGTTAGTAAAAAAAAAAAGAAGAAGGATGTCGATTGAATTTGGCACAACAACAACAACAACAACAAACAACAACAACCGACAAACCAACCGACAAAAAAAGAAAAAGATGAAAAAACAAACCACTCGTTGAGGATTTGAAGTGGTTTTGAACGTCCTTGACAAATCCTTTGGTTTTTAAATTAAAACATTTTCATTTAATGAAGTCATTTTTGTTATTTCTACTTCCACGTCGATCACAATTTTTACTATAATAATAATAATAATAATAATAATAATAATGGATGATGATGAGATACTTTCGATAATGAAAATTCTAAAAACAATGCGTTATCATTATGCACATCTCACGACACCGTTTTGAATGAAACCGTTTCCGGTTTTGCATGTTTGTTTGTTTGTTTGTTATTTATTACATACTCGGAAGATAAGAAAGTCAAAGGATGCGAATTTAAAATTTAATTTAATGTTATTCGCACGAGCGGTTATCATATTTTCACGTTGCTTTTTTTTTTTTTGTCTATAACCACGACGTTTTAAATGATTGAACGTTGTTTGAACGAATCACCGATGAAATACACCGTGTGTGTGTTTGATAAGGATAACGCTTCTTTTTTTCGAGTAAAAAAACCTTTTTTGAAAGTCAATAACTTGAAGAAATGAATTCTGCGGGGGGGAGGGGGTGGAAAGAAAAATATTCAGAGGCCAAGGTCATCACAAAACATATATCAAACGGTTTTCTTTTCTTTTTTTTTTTTTTACTTTTGTAAATGGAGTAAAATAAGAGAAAAAAAATACGAGGATTTAATCATTTGAGTGTTAGTATGGTTTATATTTCATCTGATGCCACGACTTTAAAAAAAAAAAATTTATTTTTTATACGATTTTTTTTTTCTTTGCTTCGAACAAAGAAATTTTAGATTTTTTTATTAAAGTCAACCATATTGTTTTCTTTTTAACCATCGTTTTCCCCTCCCCTCCCCACAAAAATATTAAATTATTATTTAAATTTGAAAATTTCTTGAGATTTTCTAGAAAATTCTAACAAATTGTAAATGAATTAAAATTTTCACAAATTGAGTGTCGAAATTTAAAATAAAAATTTTAAATTTTCTTTAACCTTCGTAAAAAAAAAAAAATTCCTATTAAAATTATTATTATTATTATTATTATTAATATTAAAAGAAAAATTTCGTTAAAAGTCTTATCAATAACGATAATAATAATAATAATAATAATAATTTAAATTGATGTTTTAATAATAATAATAATAATAGAAGAAAATAATCCGTTCAAAAATTTTATCAAAAAAAAATTTTTTTTTTTTTTCGCTTCATCGATTCCCCCCTCCTCCCCCCAAAAAAAAAAAAAATTGTGGTAATTTCGTGGCAGAAGAAAAAGAAGAAGAAGAAGGAACCGCGTTACCGGATGAAATTAATCTTTCCGTTTGAAAAAAAAAAGAAAATCTTTTCTCATTTTTTTTTTTTTTTATTAATATTTTAACGGTTTTTTTTCCCTTTTTTTTTTAATATAAAATTAATTAGCTCCAAAAAAAAAAAAAGAAAAAAAAAGGAAAATTTAATAAAATAAAGTTAATAACTTTTGCGGAAAAAAAGGAAAAAAAAATTAAATAACCGTTAAAAGGGGGGGGGGCCTTAAAACTGAAACCATTTAAATCCATAACAATCATCTCATTCCTTTTTTTGTATAAAACAATCCCCCGAGTTTTTTTTTTTTTTAAACAAAACTTTTAATGACCCGTTAACAAAAAAAATTATTTATTTATTTAAATTTTAAATTAAATTAAACGATCCGCGACGTATAAATTATTTATAATGATGATAATAATAATCACGATAAAATTTTCCGATTGTTAAAAAATTTTATGAATTTATTAACTTTAAAATGTGATTTAAAAATCGTAATGATTGAATTTTTGTAAATATTAAATGACCCTACGTTTACATATGATAAGTATCGTTCTAATAATTCAATTTATAATTACTATTTTTTAAAAAAGTTTTAAATGTCTGTCACCTAACGTGTAAGTTTTATATTTATAATATTTTTTTTTTGTGAGGGGCATTATATTGAATTATCACTGTCGAAAACATATTTTGGGGGGGGAGGGAATTTATATATACAAAAGTGTATTGTATCACGAAAGCGTTTGTTTTTTTTTTTTTTTTTTTTTTTTTTTTTTTTTTTTTTTTTTTAAAAAAAAAGA